CCTAACTTGCTACATTAGCAGCTAGCATGGATTTGAGTATGCTACCTAGATATACCAGCCAGGCATATAAAGGCAGACTGCCCAGATATTTCCATGGCAGGTACATACGAGATATGTCATGGACCAAGACTGAGTCAGATTCAAATGACAATTGAAACAGAAACCTTTAGCCAGAGGTGGCAGAGCACAGAGCCAAGGAGCAAGTACCAGTGCTGCATTAAAACACCGAGATGGCTCAGAGCACAAATCAAATTTATGTTTTTCTAAAAAGATCAGAGCTAAAGGTATGCAAAAAGAGAATTTTCAACAATACTTTTGACCATCAGTCTGCCCCACTCTCTGTTGAAAGTCCACCAGCCTCTTGCAGAAAGAGAATCAAAGTATCCCATTGCACAAAGAAAAAGTAACAAAAATGCTTCCCGGCCCACCCAAGTTACTAGCTTGGGACACAACTACAGTCATTGCCTTAACACAGTCAGTAGGTTCAAAGTGTTCTATAAAGATGATTCTGTTCACCTAAAGCATGCAAAGCATGAACACACAGACTCATTTCACCAAAATCCAGGAAACCAAGCACAGGAATTAAAAAAGCCATCCAGCACATAAAATCCATATAAAAGCTGTTTAAGTCTCATTTTTAAGAATGATACTTGATCTTGGTTTGGAAAATGGATGCTTAAATGCAAACAAACACTAGAAGGTGATGGTATCTTCATGTTCAAAACAAAGCACTGAAGAATACAAAAATAGTTTTAGTTTACACAACAAATATATATGGGTTGCTTTAACGAAATACATGTGCCAGTAGGACTGGCAAGACAAGCATATTTTTTCTCCTTTCTCCTTTACAAACATGTTTGTATTGGGAACAGAGAGAAAATGAAGATCTATGATTTGCATGAATCTGTTAATTGCAGTTTTCTAATCTGCAGTAATTTCTGTTTAAACAGCATTTAAACACACCAATACACACTAAATTAGAAGATATATAAAAGTATAAAGAAAATTTTTACCCACAAACATGTAGCACATACAAACTACAGATTCAAAATAGCAATGCAAATTTAGATATAAAAGTTTGCGTCTTTGACACATCAAGCTTTCTTTAAAGTCAGTATACAACTACATATCATCTTGGTTAATAATCAGTCTGATTATAATAATAGTGCAATACAAATGAAACATTAGTCCATCAAACAAAAGACTTACAGAATGACAAGACAGACAAGAGAAAGACCAAAACAAATGTATCAGCATGTTCAGTTAGACCCTGAAAATATATAATTTAATAACTGAGATCTAGGAAGATGATTCCCTTGAGATGGTAAAATACTGACAAGTAGTGGTCAGTTATGGGTACTGCACTTTCCTAAAAAAGAACTACTATTAACATTCAAACCTAACACGATTTCTTAATTAAAGCAATTACTCAAATCCAAAAAGAAAATTTTATTTCCTTTGGTTTGAAACCTGTAACAGGCAAACCAATGGAAAAATTGTCTCACTAAATAGCCACAAACACTTCAAATAACATTTATTTATAAATATTCAGGATGCATTCAGGATTTTAGAACTCAGTCTAAACCCTATTCTCCACTCCAAGATGTTACTTGGGAAGCATCTTTGAGAAATAAAAGAGAACAGAAAAAGACTCTAATAGAACATTATAGCCATGCAGTGATCATCACAAGACTGAGGCACTGACAAAGCTAAGAGTCCATCTAACACAATCTAAATTACAACAAGCAAGAAACTGAATAACAGAGTAAAAAGCTATTTCTACAGATTATATAGAAACATGCTTCATCCAAACAACAGTAGCATCAAAATATTTAGTTATTTACTTTATTCTTACTAGGATATGCAAAAGTACACAAAGCAATTCAAGTACATTCTTTCTAATATACAGCAACTTAAGCTAAACAAATACACACCCTAGGAACATTTACATGTTACAGACTACTTCTTGATACATTCCTCAGCACATACTGTCCATATGCACTCCAAGTTCTCAGATGGACTGCTTCCTCTCCTAACCAGTATCTGGAGGATGCATGTCTGCCCTTCCTCCTCCTCCAACATGTTGTATTTACATCAGTGGAGGACTATGTCCTCACAGTCCTCAATGCCAGTGCTATTAAAATAAGAAGGTAACAAAAGATAACGTGCAATGGAAGAAAAGGAACAACTGGGAAAATGGGCATCACTCCCCAAAGAAATTCAGGTTAGTGATAAGCAACATCTTGTTCTTAAGGGACTGCCCATAGGCATATTTACAGGGGTGAATCTAAGCACTCCACTCCAAGTGGAGTAGGCAACACAAAATTCCAAGACCAACACTTAAGTATTACTATTGCAGACAAGTGTCATTGAAGAAAACTAGAAGAATGAAACAAATTGCTACCGTCACCTCCAAGCCTTCTTGCAGAGAAACAGCACACGTTTTATTAGAGTTTACTGGCTCGGGTTTACCTCTCAATGCATCTATGCATCACCAGTGGAGGGCATGTCACTAACTGGAAAGCAGCTTGGCTGCTTCTTCTGATACTCCTGATACTTCAGGCCAAATATAAGCCACCACAAGAGAACAGCTCATTAAAAAGTCAAACTGCAGAAAAAGGCAACTAGCCTCTCTTTGTGTTGACTGTTCATTCAGAATATTTTCATTCACAATGTCCACTAAGAATCTTTGAATACACATTTCTGTGGAAGTACTGAAGAGATCCACCTTTTTCAGTAGCCAGTCCTCAGCATCATTCTGTATATCCCATGAGAGATCAAAGGAGTGCACTGATGAGACTCTTGCAGACTTGAGAACAGCATCTGCAATAGCTGAGCATTAAAGGAGCATAAAAGGACATATCCCACAATAAGGAAGAAAACCATCAGTGTCATATATTGTGTTAAGAAGCTAATGTTCTCAATGTACAATGTATTCACACTTTAACTGTAAGGCAGTCAAGACACAACTCAGCTTCCACACTGGAGTCTCAGATAATCTCTGTTCTTGATAATTCTCACCTACAAAGCGATCTGTGGCAAATGCTACCACCGAGTGATGGGCGATCACTAAGAAAAATGACATCATGTATCTTACACAAAATCCAATTATTCTTATCAGGAATTATTTTTTTGTTTGGTTGGTTTTTAAATAATTACATTGTAGGCTTTGCTGAAATTGCCTACTTAAAATATGGAACATTTTTTTAAAATGTATGAGTTACCGACTTTTTCTAACAACTTTGCTCAGAGAACTTTGAGGCCAAATTCAATTTTGTCTCTGGTACAGATAAATAAAAAAAAAATACCTTAGCAAAACACATTAAACAACTACACCAATGCCAAGTAAAGAACAAATCAACACAAAGTCAACTACTACCTGGCTTGAAAACACATTATTGAAATAACAACCTTTTAAAACTACTCATAAATTTTAAATACTTCATAGACATAGATTACATTATTTGTTATACTTGGTTTGCCATACTGGATCCATTCATCTGTAACAGCACATATAAAGGGAAAAATAAAATAAAAATTGAAAAATTCAAAACCCAAAAGTTCTAAAACTCAAATCTGCTACAGCCAATTCTCAGACTGTTTTGGTGTGGGCATTTTTTCCTTTTTGTTTTTAATTTGAGATTAGATCGGTTCTAAGCTTTTTGCCTCCTTAGATATCCTCATATTCTTATTAGTTCTATAACTTATATTCCATAATAAAGTTATTTTCTTCATAGATCTTTCCCACACAGCTGCCTCTCAGGATGATAGTACGTAGAGAGGCAGCATGTACAGGATCTAGACTGTTTTGCTCTCTAAATCTAGTGTTTTTCAAAATGAAGGTCACAAGGTGGTCCATTTTCTATCTAGAGAAGGGCAAATTAACATGAATGTTCAATGGGGAAGGAAGATAGGACAGCTAGACAGAAGGTTGTAATAAGGGCCTAAGATCTAAGGACGTTAGCAATACTAGAGTCTGAAGACATGCGGAATGTAAAAAGTTGCAAGGCTTATCACAAAGATATTCTTTAAGCTGTTAAGACAGCTGAGAGAGAAGCAGTAGGAGGAAGAAGACATACTGGTTTTAAAGTCTGTGTTTCAGGAGTGATACTTTCTCCATATGTCTTTGTAATCTGTCAAAGAAAGATTGTCTAATACCTATTCTACACCTGTCATCTGGCATCATCAGGTTCTGTTTTGCATGTGAAAGGTTAGAAGTTTCTGAAAAAAACTCTAATTCATTGCAACAAGGATAATCTATGTTTTATGAGGATTTCCAAACACAGTGACAAGAGTCCTGTCAAAGAAATCTAGAGTCATGACTGAGATCAGCCACCCAGAAGGACGATTTGGAGATATGAGCTCCTGCTTGAGAGAGCGAGGATAATCTCCAAGAATGTGATTTCCCTCCAAGTAGCAGCAGCTATGAATGTATGATGTGCAGAATACGCCAGTTTCAGTCAGGATTGGCTCGGAATCTTGGCTTGGGCAAATTCCTAACAGTAAAAGTTTACTAAGCAGACTAAGAGGTGTCAAGCTTTCCTATAAACTAAGAATGAGGACTTTATATCAAAGTTTTTTACAGTAGTGTCAAAAAAATCTTTCAAATAGAAAGAGGCTCCTCAGGAAAATCAATTTACAAAAATATGGAACAAAATAGAATTTGCAGGACAAAGGATTAAAATGTCTTCATCTACGACTGGGCAACTTATGGGAATTGAAGTTTAGGGATGTACATAGTATTCCATATTAATTTTGCATTAAATTCATAAGATGAGCTACTAGGAAGAAAAACATCCAGCTTGAGGGCTCATGATCATATGAAAGTCTTTTAAATACTTTTTAATTCATTTACTTGAATTCAAGCTTTGCTTTTAAGGAAATCATGGTAGTGTCCATGTCTCTCTACAAATATAAGTCATTATCCTTTTAAAAGGATAAAACAAGATTGTTCCAATCTGCAGGTAATATTATCAAATGACACCATCTCATTACATTAAGCATCCCTCTACTGGAAGGTGCAACTGAAGAACCTAGAAAAGGACACAGGCAAATTAAAGGGCTATGAAAAAATATAATAAAGTACTCAAATTCTTTTCACCCACTAGCACATCAATACGAGGAAAAATGAAACAGTAAGTCTTTCTGAAATTCTAGCAGAAGTACACCAAGCATTGTAATAAACATTACTTTTATCCACACCAAAAGAGCATCTTCTCTTCTTAAATATGATCTCTTTGAAGAGTTTCTTAACTTGCATGAGCCTCAATCTAAATTAAGGTTCCTCAGTGTCACTGCACAGTACAAAACAACCGCCTTCCACAAAGCATGTATACTGTTGCTAATATTAAAAGTCAAAACCAGCTGCAGTATTCTATTGCTTGGAGATAATATTGCAAACCATATCTTAAGGGGAGTGAAATAAAAAGTTACACAATGTTAAAAGACAGTTATTCTACATAGTAGTAAAATTAGAAACAGACGTATTTTCCATACATTTCCTAAAACAAGCAGAAAAAAAAACTACTAGCTGTCTCCAATTTTAACTGATAACATAAACATTTGTATGTGTACATTTGTATGTGTCTCCTACATAATATTTTATACTTCATCAAGTAATGCTGAATTAAACCTTTTGAAAAGCAATGAAAATTTGTATGGCCACTACAGTGCATTGGATTGCTTATGGAAATAAGTTAAAAATCAATTGCTCGCTGCAAGCAAAGTTTACATTAGAAAATAGAATGCTTTAATTGAGACTACACAGCTAATCACTTCTGTTTGTTTGGAGTTCGAGGAGGGCAACAGGGGGTGGGCTCTTTTAAAGAATGTTTATACCAGTTACCAAAAAGGTCTAAACAGGCAAGACAGTATCATGAAGAACAAAGACTCTAACTTGTTATTACCTGGTCACCAAAAGAAGCCAACCTGGACTGATAGAGTTAAAAGAACATGCCAAAAGTACGCACGCTTCTGCCCGTTACACAGGTACAGGCTCAGAAATGCAGTATTGCTCCTAACCTAGTCCTGAACACACAGGAAGTTTTCCTCTGCATACCTCTTGTAACTGAAGAGACATATGTCCCAGTTGATCCTGGCGCCTTTCTACCAGCTGTCTTTCAGCACGCATTTCCTGTTCTATCTCCAGCAGTCTTCTCTCTACCCGTTCTGATACCTTCAAAAGGAAACAAAAACACCCTGTAGGAAATGAGTGCTTCTTCCACCACATATTAAAACAGCAATAAGTTAAACAGAGTATGAAGCAGAAAGAAAAGAGAACCCAAAATTTATTTTATTAAATAAGACTCAGAATAGCATAGAAAATAACCAGGGTTACAGAAGTGAGTACTCAAGAGGTACTCAAGCAGGGAACTAACCTGCTGTCTTGCTAGCAATATCCTCCTTTTGGTGAGTTTTTCTCTACAGTGGTGGTTCTACTCAAGTGCTAAATCTCTCAATATCAAGTTTGGTGTGGCCTAACCTAAAGCTGGAATACAGAAATCAGGCCACAGGCCTGATTAACCTCTGGAAAGTCATTTTTTTCACATCTCCAGTCTGTAAAACAGACCAATGTTTACCTTGTTCATATTCTGAAATCTGTGAGTGAAAAGCAGTAAACAAAATGCTAAGCACATGAAAATTATTGTAACCACACAAATAATTATGTCACTTTAAGACTTTTTACCAATATGTTGTGAATCCATGTAGGAAATAATACAAATAACACTAGTTATTTGTTAAAGCAGTCTGGATTAAAAACACAATAATTCAACCTTAAACTATAATAACAGAACTACTTTATTTTTTGATTTCAAGCTGCTAGCAGATAGCACCCTCTTGTGGGCAGCAAATCGTATTTATACAGTTGAAGTTAAAGATTAGCAAGGAAAATATTTATGTATCATTTCCTCCCTGCCTTAAAAATAATTATTTTGAACAATCATTAGAAAGTAATTTATTTATTACTGAATAGTATTTAGATAAAACAAGAGACTTAAAACACCATTCACCTACTAGTTTCTGATGTCTGTGGATGGAATCATTTGTCATCTGTACTTTCATCATTAAGCACACTTCTACTAGCACTAGGCATACGCACGGATAGAAAATTAACATTTTTTTTACACAGTTGTGTAGCAACAGAAACATGATTAAGGTCACATTCATCTACTGCATCAAACCACCCTCTTTCATGTAAGTTATGAAAGCTCTGCAGTCATAATCCAGAATAATTGCTTACTAAAAATACTCCAGTTAACAGGAACAATGATGCTATGTAGCAGGAACAGAAAATAACACTTTGTCATTAAACTTGTTATATCTTTGATGAAGACTGGGAAATATCTGTCATCCTTTTATCCAGATATATCTAAAGTACACAAAAGAAACAAAGACATGTTTTTACATTTTTAAAAAATCTTGGCTACATGTTTCTGAAGGTAGAAGCTTTTTCAGCTCTCACACACACCTTTTTTCAAGTAAAGTTAAGCACATTAAAGCTATTCAGAAAGAAAATGTATAATTTAGACTTGATAAAAGATCCAAAAGTAACATCACTCCCAAAGAAGACATTAAAAAGGAGAGGTCAGTAACTTCCTCACTGACACAGATCTAGTTCACTGCATACACAGTGGATGATATGACATGAGGAAGCACTAGGCAAGCTCCACGTTCCTGCAGACTTCAGACTTCATTGCAAATTATCACTAATGCAAAATGAGCAAGAATAGCTTTTTACTTACTACAAGATATCCCTTGCCTTTGACTTCTTTTAACTCCCTCCAGAATATAACTGCTATCTTAATTTCTAATAAGGTACTGAAAAAGACACATTCATTATGTTTGTCAAGCACATGGAAATTTCAGCGTTGCAGAGGTAATCCTCAAAAACAAACCAAACAAACCACACCCACAGACAACCAAACCAAAACCACCAGATATTTTTGATACATTTGCTATTTGAAAAAAAGCCTCTATGAAGACACCATAGCTAATATAGTACATAATTAGGTCATACTCCCTGTACAGAAGACAGAAGAGGCTGGAAAGAACTGCAAGAGCTAGCAAACTTACTGCCTGCCTAAGCACATGACCTTTTATATCTATATCATTTTTCTACAAGTCTATCCAACTTGCTCAGAAACATTCACAGAAAATTTTTACAGCCTTCCTAGCCAATTCACTCCCCTGCCCCTAAAATAACCCATTTTTCCTAAAGATTATTTCAAAATACTTTCCATGCCTCCCTTCCCTCCTGTATTTTAAGCTGAGGTTTTACACCCCCATTGCTGCTCAATAACTTGCACCATGTTAAAAAGGTGTTAAACAGGAATCAGCTTTCTTGGCATACTGCGTCAGTAGTTTCCCCTCTTCTGCAAGGAACAGACCAACTGCTTTGGTCTCCCTGAGAAATAAAAATTAACTTCCAAGTGAATCATAGCTCTTCATGCCTCTTTGTTGGTGTATCCTATTATCTACCATCATGGACTTTCCACTCTCTCATATTTGCACTATTTTTTATCACTGTTCTTATTAATCTAATTTAGTTTCCATTTTCTATGTTCTTTCTCTTTTTGTCTGACATAAATGCAGAACTTGTAATTCAGCCGAGTACATATACTGCCCTACTTCCTACAATTCATCTTTTCATTTTGTAAAATGATTTGCATAGCACATGTTTGATTATTTGCCCAACTCTCATTTCCTCCAAAGACACACATTTTTTCTTCATATTTCATTTCATAAGTCACTTCATAAACAAAAAATTTACAGCCTCAAACTGTTCCAAATACGTGTGAAATAACAAAAGATATTGTAATTAAAGAACAAACCTTAGACTATGACCAAATTGATTCCTTAAAGCAATCATTTTTCCATCTTTTTTTTTTTTCTTTTTGTAAGATAGAGACGAGCGTACAGAAAGGTTGGATACTAGTTAAAGAAAGTTGTTTTAGCAAACATGAATAGGTATTATGTTGGTTAAAATTTCTTCAGAAGTATTTTCTGGTAGACAAAATGTGTACTATGAAACATTACATCAACATTAATCCTGAAAAAGAAGGTTAAACAAAGGCAGCCTCATAAACACTACTTCTAGCCTACTTGATAAAGAGAACAATACTTGGGAAATTATGGTCTTCAAGTTGTGCTTCCCCAAAATTTAGTTTAAATTGGCCAACAGATTCAAATGTTCAGGGGTACAGAGCTGCCAAACATATTTAGATTTTGAAAGGGGTTTCAAGAACATAAAATCCTAGAGAGAAGTAATCTCATAAATACCCTGTTTAGGTACAGGGGGAGAACTCAGTCTTTATTTCTTCGTTTTGGCTGCCAGTAAAGCACATTCATTTAGTCTGAAGTTAAGTATGAGCCTACTTAGCATTCTAAAAAAAAAATATTAGGTTGGAGTATAAGAAAATAAAGCTAGCAGTGAAGTCAAAGTGATGCAAAGAAAGTGTCATGGGACTTTGGAGATGCATCATGGTGAGGAAGCATAATATGGAAAGAACATAAAAGTTATTGTGCAAGGATTTAGGTAACAAAAATACAATCTTAAGTTTTTGTAGGGTGACAAAAACCCAAAAGTGTTCAAGTGGTAAGGGTGGAGACCGGGAAAAGAAGGCAGACAGTAGAAAAGATCACAACAAATTAGACTTTATTGTATTATACCTTGAAACAGTGCAAAAAAACAACCCAAGTATTATCACTTGTGGCTTCCTCTGCATTCTGTGAAAAAGCTGCTATATTGCTAAGCACTGCTAGGACGTGTGACAAGTCTTCCCAGAATTTAGTAAACTTACCTTCCCCATTTTGAAAAATTTAACATCATAACACTAACACAAACTGGGTCATTTATCACATATTCCCAATTTTGTCATTTATGGTATGGCATAGCAGAAGTCCCAACACATGACCCTGCAAATCTGAGGCCAATCTTCTGATGTACTTCTATGTTGGAACCTGCCAACAGTCTCCCTGGCCAAAAGGGATGAAAAAAAAACTATCACATTCTTTCTCCATCCTCTCCACAGATGTTATGTCCCCTGAACACTCTTTTTAGTTTGATCATCTTTTTACCTACTGATACTATGGCATTACACAGGACCTATCAGTGCGCGTAACGTCGCAATTTTTCTGTCAAGGTTTTTTATAAACTTCCCTGATTGCATTTTTATATTTAACTGTTGAAGTTTATCTAACTTCTCCAGTTCTATCATTTGCCTATAACTTTTGGAAGGACTCCTCTTTGCCTTGTGCAGTTACATCAGCTATCTTTTGATCTCCCTCATGTCCTTTCATGCATTATTTGAAATCACTACTACAGTGTATTCAGATCACTTCCACATTGTCTGGAAATATTCTATCCTCTTCATTCACCAGCATTTTTCTAAGAAGCTCCATTATTTTTGTGCAAGTCTCTTTTAGAATCCAAGCATTATTCTAAGACGTTTAACTTTTTGCTCCAGTAGGGATGCCAAATCTACGTTTGTTATGGTTATTGTTACAAGGTGAAAATTTGACAGATTAAAAGCCATGGACGGGACTCTTGTTTGTAACAAATAACTGCTTGTTTGTTTTTTCTTCTGGAACGTTTCTGCTTATTTGCTCCACAAAGCAGTTAATGCACCATTTAAAAACATAGCTCCCCTAACATAATATTTACTCAGTCTACACTGGTGTAGACATTATCTCCCACAAGAATTATGTTCCCTGGTTTTGTACCCTCTCCAACCTTCCTCAGCTCGTCACAAAGCCTGTGACGCACAAAAATAGGGATTAAAAGGGGAAAAAAAATTAGAAGCAGTTAAGTGTTAACTCGTTAATTAGTACATGCAGAAGAAACTCTAAAACTCCCTCCTATTCTTTTATCCCCAATGACCCCGACTCAGGACAACATTTCTACTGTAAGAGTAAGTATCTTGTCCTCTGGATCTTATCAAAAGCCTTAGTGTAGACAAATGATTCGCTGAAGAACAGGACAAAGAATATGGACTTTCTACATAATGACACAAAATGCTAGCACTAAATTATTGCATTCACAACATATTAGAATGTAATTTCAAGCATACATTTTCTGCAACACAGACTACCTGTATTAGAATCATGACATTAAGAATTGCATCTCTGTGTAAGGCTCTCAGGCAGCAGTAAAATCTGTGAAAAATGGGTTAGGGTATCAAAATGTACCCCCACCACCTATTAAACACAAACAATAGAATATCCTGTTTAAAAGCAGGGTGACGTTTAAGTCATGTAGCTAAATATAATCTTGTGGAAGATGCTAGATGCTTATTCTACAAAAGGCAGCATCCTACCTGTTTTTCAACTTTCCACTGTTACTTCTAGGGCACAAGTCCTGCTTACTGAAATCTGTTTCAACAGATTTTTCTTGCCTTTCTTGCTACAACCTATTTTATCATCAATGCAGACTTGAAACAGAAGTATTAAAATCACAAAATAGCTAACTTCTTTCACAGATGTCACGTTAAATATCATTAAACTTTTCCCTCATGGCAAATGATTATGTGTGATATACATTTTACACATCACCTGTGCTATGCCAAGAATCCCTGTACCAGATCTTCTGAGGGACAGTTTCTTAACTGTCAATAAGCCTGGCTCTCTGAGATACCATAAATAACCACATTAACTCCATGTAAAACTCATTTGACTTGACATTGCTGTCTTCTTCCATGGACACAGCCTACACCAACCTTCTAATTGTGCCATCTCAATTAAGATGATGCCTTCTAATGGCATCATCTCACCTACTTAATTTGAACAAACCTGTGCTTTGCTGCAGTTGCCCTTTATGTATAAAGCTCAGCACCTTGTGCTATTTGGGATGTGCTTCTATAGCAGGAGATTGCAATAAAATGTCCAAGAGGGCTATATTAAATAACCATAAAATAAGTACACATTTTTTCAATAGTTCACAGGTGTGTATGGAGATCCCTCTAGCAAACTCTTTTCAAGAAAAAAAGCAATCTCACAAAATGTCTAGCTAAGAGAGGAGCTGTTGATATAGAGAGAGTTGTAGAACCTGCACTCTTTATAACAAAACTGCACATAGATTCTCAGTACAAGGCCATGGAGAGTGCTTAATTTGAAATGGACTTTCACCCACGTGTGTGACACCACCTCAGATGTCATCTGGTTGTTATACCGGGGTGGAAAAGGCTCCCTTTTAGAATTAAAGTGTATTGATTGTGTTGAGTGTCTCTGAAAGTATTCAGATCCAGCATCAAAAAGGCTCCATGAATCATAACCTCTAATAAAAATAAATTCTGAACTAGTGACTCAGAGCAACTGTGGTGACTAGTCCTGTATCATCACACATCTATACACTGGCAGTTTTCAAACAGCACTGATTATACTGAACTGTACAGCTGTAAGAATTTAGATATGCATCACTATAGAAATGTAGGCTTAAGGACACTAAACTGAAAAGAATGTTTCTACCATGAACCCATGCTATCAAACTATCAAGATTTCAACATGATAATTTATCACCAAGAAGCATATGGCAGAGCACAAATACAAAGATGGCAATGCTGGAGGTGATAAACACTCCAAAGTGAAGTTATAAGGGCACTAAGGACAAAAGTTCCTGTACAACTTCCTGAAAGGACATTGCAGAAAGGTAGGTACTGGTCTCTTCTCATAAGTTACTGGTGATAGAACAAGAAGGAATGGCCTCAAGCAGCACCAGGGGAGGTTTAGAACGGACATTAGGGAGAACTTTTTTACTGAAAGGTTGTCAGGCATTGGAAGATGCTGCTCAGGGAGGTGGCTGAGTCACCATTCCTGGTTGTGTTTAAAAGCTGTGTAAATGTGATGCTTGAGGTGGACTTGGTAGAGTTAGGTTGGACTCAATGATCTTAAAGGTCTTTTCCAATCCAAATGATTCTATGATTCTGTAAGGAAGTTGTGAGGAAAAAAAAGTATTTCCTTCTACTCAATTCACTTTCATCAATGAGAAATCCATTCTGAATTAAATAATCTCATTAGAAGAATACCTAAACAGACAGGTACTAAAGGAACTCAAAAATCTACAATAGCAGACCACAGTTTCCACACAAGCTCCCATCTCATGCTTTGCTATGCTCACCATTAGAGTTATTTTTTTTCTTCACATCCTTACACATTTACCTTATCTCACCCATTCTGCCAACCTCATCAGTGCAACTGTAGATCACCAGGCTTTGGACAAGTGCAAAAGATCCATATCTATTATCACAGAGCACAGGTAAAGCAGCAGTGTGGAATGTTGCTATCTCTGGGCTTTTGCAGTGGTGTGCAATCGCCTGGATACAATTAGTGATGAAGCATGTCAGAATTCACCTGCCTGAAGAGAAAGGAAATCCTCTAAAAAGCCTCTGAAAAAAACTAAACAACCTTCTCCAACGAAGGTTAGGGATGAAAAAGCAATCAGATTTAAAAATAAACACACAACAACCAAAACTAGCAAAACAACCAAAAAAAAAAACCCCAAACAAACGCACAAACAAACAACAGAAAGAAAAACGAATCGCCACAAAAGTGGAAGTTCTTCTCACAATGTCTAATCTATCTGCAGAACTCCTTGCCAGAGGACAAATAAAATGGTAGACATCTAAGTTAAAACAAAGACTGGGCACGTTCTAGAAGAGAAATCCACAGAGGGATTATGAAGTAAAGTACAGAGATCAATTCCAGACCAAGAAGCTCCCAAGCAAAAAGTGTTATACTAGTATTGTGCAGAATTATCATTAAGATGTCTTTCTGTTCTAATACTGTTCACTAAACATGCACTTGTTGACCATTGACCATATACAGCTAGATCTTTCCCAACTATATATTTCTTCTGCAAATTGGACATCAGCAATTGCTTTAACCTTTCAAGGAAGTCTTTGAAAGAATGTCCTTTTTTCATTTTTCCCCTCTATTTTTCCTCCTCTCCTCTTTCCAGTCTTTTCTCCATCTGGCCAATGTTGTTCCTAAAGATAAGCAGCAGCAACGAGCAGACTATTCCAGCTGAGCCTCACTAGTCCTACGCAGGAAAACCATCTCCCTGCAGCTTAGTGCAGAATTTGTGTCTTTACTGAAAGAAAGTCGTAAAACACTTCAGCTTTCATAGTTTTACTTGATAATAATGTTCCCTCTCAACTAAACACTTATTCTTCTGGTATTCCCTTCAACATTAGCAACCTACAGAAGGCTTCCTTGTTACACTTCACATATCTCAGTTTTTGCTTCTCTTGCGTCAAAAGTTGCAACATTCAATTTGAAATCCTACTAGAGGAGGTCACAAAGAGCTAGTTATTTCTTTCATTAATGAAAAGACAGTGGCTGCCAACATTCCAGAGGATGGAGGAGGAAGGTTTGTTTTCTCTCATTCAAAGGCATTGAACAGTTGTAGTGTAGCTAGCTGTAGTACCGATTTTCTTGAGAACCATCTTAATTAAAACTTACTGAGTTTGCTGATTTTCTAGTACATTGAAAAGGAAAAAATTACGTATACTGAGACACAGGCCACAAAAAATAAAACCAAGAGCTTAGCAAGTATAAAGAAATCTTTAACAGAAACTTATTTTATCCTATCAGGCTACTAAGAGAAAGCAGAGCTAGCATTCTAACAAAGACAGCCTTTTGCATTTTTCTAGGAAGGCTGATGAGGCAAGTCTTCCTCCACTAATGGATTCTACCATATCAAGCATATAACCGGTACTGATAAATTATAATCTCTCCAAACTCTGTTCAACTTCATCTTGAATCAGGAACTCACACAAGTGTAATTATTAAGTCTGCTGTCAACAAATGGACTGTACCAACAATATTGTTACCATTGACAAACACATCACTAAAGCTCTTGGCAGAAGTGTTTACTACTAATTCACACAATTTTAGGGCAAGATGAATCACCCATGGGAAAATAAGGACACAAAACACTTGCTCTGAAAAGTCAGCGTTGCTACTGTTACTATATTAATACACAAAGCATATGCTCAAGTCTTAGGTGTCAAGAACTACATACAGGATTTTCACCTATTCCTCCCACTTCTCTTGGTCCTACAGCAACACACTAACTTCCATCTCAATAGCAGACCCAGGTACAGACTGTAGTTAGTCTTCCAGCAGATACAGGAGGTAAAAAAAAGAAGAGACTAGCAAGGCTGTCCTGCCTCCTTTGTCACACTTGTCACAAAGCCCTCAGAGAAGACTGAAGCCTGAAAAGACTCCTCCCATTATGCTGTACAGATAAGGATTGATAAAGGACAGGGAGGGAGGGACAGGAAACAATATTATTCATCATCTTAACATGGGAAAGCTTTTATCTTTCAAAAGGTATCTTCAATAAGTATGATAGCGTTCAAACCAAAGCTCAAAGTTAAAAGCAGCTTCCTCCATGCCCATGAATTTTGAAACAGAAAAATTCAGTACATACACGTGTAAAACATGCACTTTTACTTCAAAAAAGTAAATATATATATATACACATATTTATTAAATATAAAACTTGTCTTGCTGATTTCATTACAGAAAGGTAACATTATAACAACTTGTGGTAGCCTAGGTAAGATCATGTTCAGATACACACACATATGTGGTACTGACTACCAACGCTCACATTAAACTAGAAGTCCACATCCTGCTTAGAATACTAAAGACAATCATCTTTTTGTGTTAGGCACTCACCGTTCCTTGTCTTTGGGACTCAGTGAGCTTTGCAGACAATTCTTCTAGAGTCTTTCTTAATTCAGCATCAGTCCTTCATAGAAAAATACAGGTAAGACAATATTCTACAGTGCAAAAACTAAACATCAACTGTGATAATTTCAAGCAGCAACAATCTCCTGTATTTTTATGTTACTTCAATTTGTTCTACAGCCTCTAAATACCTAACACGATTGGAGGCCAGCATCAAGTGGAAAATTCATGATAAAAAGCACTTTCGTTCTTCAAGTGAAGATAACAGAGCCTCTAGTTTGAAAGGCTAGGTATCAGGTCAACAAGTGAAAAATTATGAACACAACCACACAGTCCTTTTGAGAAGTACTAACTCCTACAAGGAATTAGCAGACTAATTGCTGTTATCGCTGTTAGACAAAGCACCATATGTGAAGACAGTATGTAGTAAAAAAAGATATTGTGGCCTGCATGAGAGCTTGCCCTCAAGAGACTCCAGTACCAAGAACAAATAAGGAGACAGCATGTAATAAAAGAAATTCCCAAGTCCCTGTCATTTTGTTCATACATAAAAAGGGGGGGAAAGCCACATACACCATTGAAATGCTGGGGTTTGAACCCCGAGCCCCTGAATTAAGGTTGACATATGGGTGATTCCCACAGCCCTTCATACAGAGGGGGTGAGTTTGCCTTATAGCTTCCCCCCAGGGTGCGGCCGGCCCTGCAGGGAGAGCCATAAGGGAAATGAGCCCCAGGGGTCCCGCACTGAGTTGACAAAGGTCAGGTGTCTGCTTGGGGATCAAAGCTGGGACCACTGGCAGGGAGTCAGGAGTGTCTGTCTGTGGAGTGCACTCCACAGAGCTTCCTGGTTCAGGGAAGACCTCCTGACTCTCCTGGAGCTGGGCCCCGGTCTGTTTAGGCCTTTGCAAACACAGGTCGATCGGATGAGAGTTACCATGTGGGCACCTTTTTCTTATATGTTTAACTTGCTGGTGTGGCTGTTTCCCATGCCAACTATGGGAACCCTCGGTTCACTGTTTGTACCACCTGTTGTGGGCCGAGTCATGTCATTTGTGGGATCGTTGGGGGTGGCGTCGATCATGTATGAGCTTGTTGACCTGTTTGTACCCCCGGCGGTCATTCATATAGTAACATTTCTGTCTACAATACAGTCTGTGTATTGGTTCATCGTTCTGCTGGCTGTATCATTTTTGTTGGGCCTGGTCATTGGCAAAACAACCATACACACCAGAACTGATGGGTGCTATTTACATTTATAAATACTGCACGAGGTTACATGAAACAAGCAGTTCATAATACTGCTTTCATCTACATGTTGTGCAATCTCCTACTCCCCCCAAAAATTATTTTTTTTTAAATACAAAATAACAAAGGCATTTAAGAATTCTTTAAAAGCATAACAATTCTTTCCTACGCTACTCTTCACGTGGAGTTATAGTCTGTTTATACCGATTTCTTCTTGAAAGCTCCCGACTGATGTCATCTCCTAGGCGAACTTGCTCACTACTGAGATCTCGAAGAGACTGGTGGAAAGAATGCAGCTGTAAATTAAAATATACAGATTAAGCCAAGGCTTAGGAAACCCTTTGTCTGTGATACTCCAAAAATACATATACACATATATACTTTTTACAATAAAGTAGATAAAAATAATCCATAAAATAACAAAATTCCACAAATGGCTGATGAGCATGGCTAAGGCTTGTATGCTTCTATTTCAATCAACCCTTCACAACACTTCAACATGCTCATAGAAACTTCATTTTCAGTACATTATTTGCTAAACCAAGTTTTCCAACTAAATTTTTTTTTTTTTTTATCATTTTGGTTACTTGACACTGCACCATCTTTTTAACCTAATGCAAAGCAAGTTGAAAGATCTGAACAGTTGAAGTCAGGAAAGACACATTCCCTGCTAATAAATGGTAGTATAAGTAAAACACAGTTCTACCCAGCTATATATACTGCTATAAAAAGATGGCATACAAACTTGGAAGTGACCAAGCAGAACACTATGATGTATTCAGGACCTGCAAAAGCACTGAGGCAAGGTACTTTACTTTGCCCAGGGCTTTACATGCTCTACTAGAATTTTTTTTTCAGAGCTTGAAAACAAACAAGCACACACAAGATAATCCCACACATTTCCTCTGTAAAACACCCCATTACCCCCATTCAGCAGGCCCCCAGTTTATAGTCAGTTTTTAAGGGAACAGATGAAAAAAAGTAATAGGTCATCCACCCTTCACTGGATAAAGTCTCAGTTAATCCATCCTAATCCAATCTACTGCTGTCAACAGCTCCGTGGCCAAGACCATCATTATGAAAAACCCTGTTTTATAATAATCCCTTGTTTTATGCCCAAGACTTAAACATGAATTTTCCACAGCCCAGCTGACTGTCCTGAACATTTGGACACAGGCACTACCATCTCCCAGACATTTCAACCTGACCCAAGAGACTTTGAAAAACACAGCATGTTTTCAGAATGTATCAGTCTAAGGCGAGAGACTCTAACAATGTTAAAGCCCATTCAGCTGGAAAACTGTCTTAGCTAGAAGCAGTCAGAATAAGAATAAAGGGACAGTGGTTACAGGAAGAAGATAAAGCCACAGCTTTACTTAAGCAGTACTGCTTTACCTCTGCCTCCATTTCTACCTATGGTCATTACCAATGACTATTTCTAGTTCACCATTCCTCAAAGCACTATATTGTTCTTATGAAACAGTTAATGACTGAAAAATGCAAGAATAAGGAATAAGCCAGGAGTTATCATCAAAATAAGAAAAAAAAGCTATTTACTTACATTGCTACTTAAAACAATCTGAATTTTGTATGCATTGCAGGAATTCCCTTGAATAAAATTTCTAAGATATGTATAGAATATTTACAAGTAGTCTAAAATAGTTCTAAGGGGTTTTGGAAGCTTAGGAGGGAAGATTTCCATGTAAAATTATTTCCTTCCAAGGATTATGTTCCACGTTAACCTTGAGGAAGGAAGGGATGGGGGAAGTCAAGGACAATGAAACAGGGTTACACAGAATCTAGGAATTTCTATAGCACTCAGACTTACCAAAAAGTCAACTGAGATAATGTATTATGGTTAAGTTTAAAATTAATTATTTGGAAACTGGGGCTGATTTAATAAAGCCAATATGAACACCTTCCAATCAGCTGCTTTAATTTTACTCATAATACATTTCTCCTGGAGAAATTAGTCCACATAGAGGGATTCACTCAAGGAGGTCTGAAAGAGCAAAAACAGGTACTGAAATCTCCTCTCTCCCTCTGTAGGCTATAGAAAGTCTCTAATTTTATCCATTAAAGTAATTTCTTTTTTTTTCTGAAGACTAGGCAAGTAGACACAAGTTGAAGGGTATGAAAATTACCAGTGTCATACACATCCTTTCCTCCTCGTATCATCTGCCTGAAGTACAGGGTCAAATCATCCCACTCACAGGTCAGACATAGAATTAAGATGGAGAATTAACTGCCTCAAAAATCAATCCAGGCTACACTGAAGTAAACAGGAAAAGCACTAAGACCCTGTGCCATCAGCTAAAGCAGAGCAAACCCCTTTATAGCCACACTCAATTTCAGCATGTAGATGAATGTTAATCACAGTCAGAAATTACTTTTCTCATACATGGCCTAAGAAGTACAAAGACTATTTTCATACATTCCTTTTGCTATCACTACTATCTGCATCTTTTTCTCTATAATGCCAGATTAGCATGAAACCTCACAACACTGACAAATACAAGAGGTGACTGTCTATGAAAAAAGGCACGTAAAATCAAAAGTGCACTTCATAGCTGAAACATTCTTAGCTGTATCATCAGAAAGAATAACCCCATTTGGTGAAAAAGCAAAGAGCTTGGTGACCACATATTGCCTATTTGGGGAAGTAACTTCCATTAGTGCTCTGTACCTGGTCCAAATTATCTGCCTCATGGACAAATCGAACACTTGCAGATCTAGATCTTTGATGTTTATTGCCCTGTGAGTCTCCATAGTCCCTGAGAGGAGAAGTAGGCAGGAAGTGGCAGTTCCCTTTAGGAGAGAAAAAAAATAAGTAGGAAAACAAAATTTCGTACAGGAAATACTTCATCTTGTCAATAATCCTGATAGGCCACGTTACAGACAAAACAACCACTAAAGTTACAGAAAATGTACAGCATACTTCTTGTTTAATCAGTCCCAGGATTCTTCTTCAAAATAAATATTTCTAGAATACAGGTATGTGATGGGTAAAAGGGTTCCTTTGTTCCTCCAACAGTTAGGGGTTTTTCCCCAAATTTTATTTGCCCAAGCAAATAAACAGCTTTTCCTTCACCTTGATCTATTATAACTTCAAACTACAGTACCTCACAGCTTTTAGATCAGAAAAATGAGAGTTTTAGAGCTTTCTACAAAAATACATTAAAGGCTACATCTGGGAGAAAGACTCCTCCCAGACATATCTTCTCCTAACATATAATGAATTTTCAGAGAGGTGTACAAGAAAATACTTCTCTCCTGTACATTATACATCAGTTCAGTTTTTCCTTTTTCCCCGAGACTGCTATAATTTCATCCACACTTCCATAACCTTTCATATTTAAAATTTAACTTTTATTTTAGGTGTAAAGCAAGCTTTGGAAACTGCAATAACTTTTGGATTTAGCTTTAACTTCTATGTACCAACAACTCATGCAGTGGACAAAGAATTTTCTCTACTGAAAGAATCAATGTGTCATGTAGATCTCTCTCGGGATATCAGCAGAAAAGATTCTGTAATAGAAAGCTGTAAGAATTTACAAATTAACAACTTTATAACTTGATGCAGATCTCCCAAATTTCTTAATTTCTTTGAAGTAATCAATGATGGCTTTTCATGCCACTCTCTTTAGACATTCTTCTTCTTTATTTCCTCTTTCCATACAACAGCTATATGACATAATTTAAGTATATGCAAGCACCTGAAGTATTTTACCTGACACTCCTTCTCCATCCAGATCGCTAGGGTATAAGCTTGAGAGAGAAGCACTTCTCATTCCAGAGTTTCGGTTTAATCGTTGGCTCCTTAGATGACCTATAGATTGTTCCAGTGTTTCTTTTAGCTACAAAAAAATAACAATTTACTGAAATATGAATGCATACTGATTTAAAAAAACTCATGCATGTAAAATATTCTTTTTCAAAAAGTCATTAAGTGAACCAAAACTAGTTTTATGACTAGTATAGCTATGAATTAGTAACAGCTTTTCCTCCCTGTCTCATATGCCATAGTCCCATAACTATGGCAAAATGTTTCCAACACTGGCAGCTTCAAATATCATGTTTCTTAAGTAGTGCAACACACTAGGAAAACTCAAAAGAAAAGAATGTATCCTACTATCAAAAGAAGACCTATTTGCCAGCAATGACCAGTAACAACCCTGCAAAATCCAGAAAACACCTTTAAAGACACTTTAAATTGGTATTTTTCTACCAGCCCTACCTGGAATCAATTTGACATATGGCTATCAAATTTCACTCAGCAGCTTTACCTCAAGTCCTATTTTTAGTAGCTATACTTCCAGGTAGACATTCCCAAATTAAGAGTTCAGAACTACCTACATTCCAAAATAATGTCCTCATTTTTCAAACTTGCATCTTATTTCCTAACATTGCATTTGCTAATTTTGGATCTTAGCCACCTGCTTTTGTCACACCTTTATTTGAACCTTCAGAAATTCATGTTTTACGGATTGCCACCTTTCCTCTCCCCAACAGAGGCTTGTACACAATAGTTAAATTGCTGTTTTATTCTTGCAGAATTATACACGCTGTATTGGATCTCTCTCTAAGTGGCACTTTTTCCCAAATCATAAAACACTTCTTTAAATCATTTCTGAATCTTTCAGTGGTTGTTTAGGGGTTTTTTTGAGGTAGTATGTGTTCATTATATAGTACTTTTAAAACAACTTGATTATTGCTAAGACACTCTCAAACCAAAAACTTAAAGGGTTTTCTTATGCTTTCTAAAAAAGACAGAGGCTACTTGTGGGAAAAACATACAATAATGCATGTGTAACAGAAGATCACTTTTGCATTTAAAAAGATAAACCTAAAAAAAAAAATGAAGATGACATAGGAACAAAGAAAGAAAGAACTGCAATAACTCAATTTTCAAATCTAACTTGTCTCTGTTAAGAGACTTACCTTGCACTTTAACAGGCCAATAAAAACTCTGATTTAAGCTACAGGTGCTGAGTTTACATGCTTTAGCTTTACAGCACTCATTTTCATTCTTTCTACATGAAACCAGACAGCTGGATTTTTTAATTAGCTTTTTTTTTTATATATATATAAACAAAGACCCATGACAGTGTCCAGAATTAACAACTTTACTCTTCAGACTGTTTCTTTAGAATAGAGCAATGGCCAAAAAATTATGTACAACTTATAATTTACATTATCAACATTGTTTCTCTTTGTTTATAGTATTTGTGTTCTCTTTAAAAACTACTTAATTTTTAAAAGTATGAAGATAGGCTAGTGACAGTAGAACAAAGATATTAAAAAACCCACAGATTAAGAGAATAATCCTTAACATTCACCAATCTGAATTCTATTTCTCAACATCTCATCCATAAGATGGTTAAATCCCATCAAAACACTGCCTAACATGGTCTTTTCCCATTTCTTCATTTTCTTTTTTTTCCCCCCCTCTCTATTTATTTAGAGAGATAAACATCAGTGCTATCAGAAAAAAATAAAATTAAAAAAAAAAAACCAAACAAAAAACATCTCTCTCAAAGGCTAATTACTTTTCAACTTCTCCAAAGCCTCACATGAGCAAAAACCCACCCCAAAACATTCTCTCCTCTATCGCCCTCCTCCCCACCCCTAAAAGTACAACAGAACCTTTTCTCTACTACCCTTGTCCTCCAGGAGCATAATGAAATCACAGACCAACAGTGAAATCAGCAGGAGAGTACCACTGCTCTGGAACAGAGCACGCAAGGAGAGTACAATGTTCCCACCTCTAGAGAACCAGCAACAGCAACAATAAAACAAAGTTCCGAGCAGCAAACCTTCTGTTCCCATAAGCTGTGTTGCAAGTTTTGCATTTATTCACAGGGAGACACTGGGCACCAAAAAGCCTGGTACTAAATTAATTTATAAATTAGAATGGAAAACGGGTCCTCAGCAGCCTAAGACTCACCAATTCATAAATGCAAATACACTATACGATGGTCTGAAGAAAGTCTTTTTTAAGGAAAAGATTACAAAGAACTCCAAAGTCAGACATAATATTCAGCATAACTGACTGAACCTAAACACATAGGCCATCTGGAGCAAAACAGTCTTAGACAAACAATCCTGTAACCAAATCTAATATGGTAGAAACACTTGACCAACCATCACTGTGAAGAGAAAAAAAAAAAAAAAACCAAACTAAACATCCAAATGAGACATTTATTCAAATTCTTAAATATTGATTACAAAAGAAAAACAGACTCACTACTTCCTGACCCCAGCTGCATCTTCCAGCAAATGCATACATCTTCAGAAAAGGAACAGAAGCTCAGAATAACACGTTATCTTTACTAGTAAGGTTAATTTTACTCTATTATTTAAAGCTGAAGCAGGAGATGGAGTCTCTAGATTTCTCCTCCACTTGAGGCATAATCAAAAGCCACTTAGCGTGACTAAGAAGAATGAACGTGAAGTCAAAACTAAATTTGAGTGACACCTCACCTTGCTATTTCCTCACAGAAAATCTTTCCAGAATAACAATTTTGAACTACATTTAGTATCAGCATTTGTTAAAACCAGACAACTTTAAAAGGTTCCGATGCCCACAGGAATTCCACAAATTCAATACCCAAGTAGAGCTTATAAAGACTCAAACAGCAGAAAAAAAGAGATATATAATACCCAAAATTACTTCCATGCAGAGCTTGTGCATACTGATTTAGAAACCAAGCTGTCTGAAGAAAACAAGCCTTCTTCTCTACAGATTTTATCTCCTTTTCTCTACCCTTACATGCAAAATATTCCTACATCTCAAATACATCTGTCCTGAGGAAGCACCTGCTGCAGTTTGCTTGTAACCAAGGTACAAATCTCTCTCGCTCTACCAGCACTGATTTGTTTTACCTTCTCTGTCTAGAGCTCTGTTTTCAAACTTGCAGAAGTTTGACATTAATGAGAATTTCACCCCTTCTGTAATTTAGAGAATGCTGGTCAACAGATTCAGAAGCTATTGTAGAATGACAGGAAAAAAACTATATCAGTATGACCAATCTCATTCCTTTCTGTAATTCAGCTCTTACCACATATTCATGCCAAAGAAACATGTTCCCTAACACTATATTTCAGCTATGCACCTTCTACTTGGCACAGTTTGTAACATAATCTGTTTGGTATGTATAAACCAGAAAAGTAATGAAGCTACAACAGCTGCCAGAGCTTCATTTTATAACATATTGCTATAGTTTCATTTAGACTGCTCAAATATGAGAAGTTTCTATTGACACCTACTTAACCCTTGATATATTCTGTCCATTACTACCAAGTTTTCAGCTATGAATGCTATTAACAGAAAAGATTTAAGAAGACAAACTAAAAGTTGCTCACAGTTGCTATTTCTTCGGTTTGTTCCTTGTTGTATTCTCTGTATTGTCCTAGCAAATGGTCAACGTGTCTTAGATTTCTGTTGGCATCCTTAAAAAAACAGTTTGAGGAAGAAAAGTCAAAATGGAAACAACCTTTAATCAAACATTACCATTGTCTTTATTATTCTTTTTTATATGAGTAAATTGATAACACAAGTGCTTTTTAAAGGGTCTAAGCATTCACAATCCTATTCAAGTAACAAGAATCTGAAGATATATAGCACAGCTAAAAGGAAGGAAAAAAACAATTAGAAAAATTAAAAACACAGTATCACAGTTACAGTAGTAAGGCCTCAGCTTGAAATAGTTTTTTACATTTCAGCCACTCTTCAGAAAAACGTTTTTAATTCAAAGATCTTAACATTACCTGCCTATAAACTAGAACTAAGTTAACTAACAAATTTTTGAAGATCAACACATGAGGCAAGGTCTCCACATGAGCACTGCCTGACCTGATGAAGACCTGGATCAGGTGGCAGACCTGATAAAAAGCACCCCACAAAAAGCTCTAAATCAGAATTGCAAAACAACAACTAGAAAGAGGTTAGACAGAAATGGAACAGTACTACAGAGTCCTTTTTAAAAAAGTCAGATTACATTCTTATTAACCCATCGCTTTTCTAACTTGATGATCATTTTCCAGCTAAGAAGTTTTGAAGTTTAAATTCAGCATTCTATATAGATTTTCATCTTCTCACATAAAAGAAAAAAAAAAATATTGCCAGCCAAGCAATACTTCAACACAAGTCTTAGTATGTAAGCCCACCCACTTTAGGTATTCAGAACTGTCAACTAGAGAAGAATGGGAACGGCTTCTCAAGTAATAAACGGTGTCAAGACAGCCAAATGCCTCCTCCCACATGCAAAACAGAGTCAAGAGTTTTCTTCTGCTGCCTCCACTGAAGAAGCAGGAATTAGCTGAACACTTTTTTGTGCTCAGGTACAGGTCACTTACTAGTCTACAAATAGTGCTTCTCACTGTGCTGTTCCACATCTAGAAAATATTTTAATTGCAAGCCTTGTCAGGAGGGAACTGACTGCCTACATATTTAGTTCAGTAGGAATTGGTAAATTTCACACAGCAAGAGACAACAAAAACTGGGCTGGAAGTTTCTGCTACAAAATTCAATGCCTTGTGAGAAGCTCGCAAAGTTTATTTGGCATTATACAGTTTGCTAACTTCATAAACAGTATTACCAAACAGCTCATTGTTTCTAACATTAATCTCTTAATGTCTGAAATAAAGGCTGTATAAAAGTGTAAGAAGCCACATACTTTCTGCTCAAAGGCAATACAATCAATTTCCCAAAACCTTTCCAGTTTGCACAGGAAGCAATGTTCCCTATGAGTACAGTTTTTTCCACAACTTCAGAAATTAAAATTTGACTCTGTGACAAAAACACACTCTAGAAATACTTTAAAACTGTATTTTGTAAACAACCTGTAAAGTGCTTGCTAAAGTGTGGATCTTCTCTGTGACTTCTTCAGCACCATAGTTCCAAGCTCTGCCGTGGGATGCTCGCAAAGGTGGCCGCCTTCCTACTCGAGCCCTAAGGAAGTTGTCTGAATCACTGGACGAATCTGCCATTAGAGTCCTGACACCTAGGCAGGAAGACCAGAAAAAGTAACAAGTGTGAAACCCTAATGGCAACCAAACAGTCTCTGACTTAGACAATATTCCCAAGGCAACTTCATAGACTCAGACTCCACTTAGTTAGCCTTTCTGGTTCAGGTCAGCAGGATGTACCTTTGAAGCAGATCTTCCAACTGATCCTCAATTACTATGTTTGTTTACACCAGGAAGCAGTACCCAGATGCAAGAGGCAGAGGCCATTAGGGGAGAATAAAACCAGAAGATGCACTCTCACTACTTCAAAAAGTGTTCAGTATCCAGGATAAGTCGACAGCCCAAACCAATTCCTTCCACCAAAACACACAGTGCAGACATCAAGGCCTTATCAATTGTTTTGGTCTACAGAACCACTCCCTCTTACCTCACACAACTTGCTAAGCTATATTCAGATCATCCAGGGCCAACCACAAGTAACCCTGAGTAACTCTCTCGAGCAAGTCTAAGAACCAGTATCTTAATGACTTACGGAAAACTGGAGATATTACAGAAGGTGGCAAATGCAGTGTCTTTAAAAGAAGAGAAAGAAAACTGTGACCAGGATATTATCGACTAATCAACTTAATTTCAATATGTGGAAAAAATTAGACTATTTTAAGTTTCCAACAAAAGATCTGCTCCAAAAAAAAACCAAAAAAAAACCAAAAAAGCAGTGTATCCATTGATATAAAATAAATTGATTTGGTAATGAGCCATTTCATTTGCTAAACAGGGAAGAAGTAGAAGAGGTCAATAGGTCAATTCTTTTTTTAACCCTGGACACACATGACATTCACAAAAGTAAGCTAAAGAAACATGAACTAAATTAAGCTGTCCTAAAATGGAAATGACAGTGGGTATCAGAACTCATAAAGTACTTAGCAGAAATTAAGTGTCAAATTGGAGAGAGCTATCAAGTGAGAACCTAGAGTGAACCCACAATGTATTTCCATTAAATGACATGATAGTGTTATACAATATGTCTATTGAGTTTGCATCCGATACTGTTTGTCCAACTGGACAAACACAGCAATGAAAATAGAAGTTGGTAGGAGAAAGAGGGGTGGAAAAGATTATTCAAGGGCTTTAGCATTTCAAGTTGAATTCCTTATACAACTGCAGTGTCAGTTCTCTGAGCTAAAACGTCTCTTTCTGATCTTACCGAGTATGACAAGTAGCCCAATCACTTAAAACACAATCAGCAAATGATTCAGTGATAACTCCCTTCAAGCTTGACAAAGGTTTCAAAGCATTTTATAAAAATATCTTTAAGACACCAAGTAAAGGTGAGCGCCTATCAACGGCCATACTAAGAATTAAGCACAAGATCAGCTTTACTAGGGACCAGAAACCCCAAAACATTAATCAAGTCTCCGTTTACTCATGGACCTATGTTCCGGTATCACAGAAGAGCTGGAAAACTAACTTCATATTATGCAATTCGTATAGCTTAACTGCGAGTCAAACAGCTCCAGGTGAAAGATTAGGATTAACCTTAATGCCACCAAGTCACATTTCTTTCTAGAAGCTGAGAGCCCAAAGGAAACACCACGTACAACACTTCACAGTAATGAATGAAAGCTTTTCAAGGGTACCCAAGTAAACAGAGAAATTAAGTGCAATAAGACCATTCAAATGTTGGAAAACATTTTAACTCATTTCCAGATGAAATGGCATAAACCAGCAGAATTCCAAAGGTTTGTAATGCATCTCAGCTAACGGGAACTAAATTCTCAAAAATTCCCCAACCTCTTTTGACAATGGGCCTCTGCTACATGTACCTCTAGCTAGACAGGTATGGAAACTTGTAATGTCAGAGAACAGACAGGCACTGATTGAAATTAATGAAAACCAGCAGTTGACTTATCCACTGAAAAATGTTCTGAGACATGTCTCAATCCTAACGGTCCCAACTACTGAAAAGCTGTGACACTAGAGAAAACAAAACGGAAATGAAGATTTACAGCAGAAAAGATTAATGGGTTTAATTTCAGCTGTCCAAATATAGGCTCATTAAGGCACTCACTGGCCAAACCCTGAAGGAAGGCTAGCAAACAAGGTAAACGTAGAAGAAAAGGCTACACATAGAAGGACATGTTGTCTGAAGAAAACTTTCTATTTATGGTTAAGCAGCATTTCTCTTTGTTCTCCTGAGCAACCCAAGAGGAACTGCAAGTACTTTTAAAGTAGAAATTTTGTTTCATGTAAAGCAACATCCTCATTTTCAAAGGAATTTTAAGTCTCATTTTAGATTAAAAAAAAAAAAACAAACACAAAGTAAGAATTTGTACAAAATATACTGTATGCACATTTGTCTATTAATATAAACAAACAAAAAAAAGTCTATCATCACTTTTTCCAAAAACCTATAGATTTCAGCATATGATCATACAACCTGCTTGACAGTGAGAATCAATTCTCTTCTACTGGTTTTCAGTCTAACCAAACATATCATAACCTTTCTTGCGCTGAAGAAGAACATCAACACCCAGTATTTTCTTTCCCTGTAGAAGAGAGTATTTCAGTTCCACTAAGGACTTTCTTGTTAAGAGACCTGCAGGGTAAAATAAATATGAAGTACAGCTGACACTCTCAACAGCAAGTTCTCCAGCTCGAGTAGGCAAAAGATGAACTCAGCGTACATAACCTGATAATGCTGTGAATGCTTCTATTTGCTTAGCTCCACACAGACTGATCTATCACTAGGTAACTAACAGTGCTAAAGGCATGTTTGAAGCCTTACAGTTAAGACCAACAACAAAAACACAACAAAAATTTATGGCCGTTCTGGAAAGGACAACACGATGACACTCAAGCGGCCCTTTCCTTCAGTGTTTGTAACTAAACTAGAAGTTTTCAAAAAGCCAGGAAGGTGATCCAACGCGGTAACATTTCAGCATCGTACTTGTGACACCACGTTCCGAGCACTCTCCAGCACAAGGACACAGCACACGAACTTTACTAACACCCGAGCTCATCTCCCAGAGTCTCCCGTCTCTCGTGCCCCCGCCTCGTCCCCCCGCCAGGCCCCTGACAGCCTCAGGGCCAGCGAAAAAACTCCAGAATGGCGCCGGGCAGCCGACGACCGGGCCTCGGCCAGTTCCCCGTGGGCTGCCCCGGCTCATCCCGCGCTCCGCTCCCCTCCCCGCCGCGGCT